CCCCAAAACCCCAAAACCCCAAAACCCCAAAACCCCAAATAATGACGAATCTTATAACGTAATTAAAATAAAAGGAAATGAAATTCTTTAAGAAAAAGCAGGCTCCCAAGGAAGAAGAGAAATTCACTGGCCATGTTGGATGCCTGAGCGAAATCCAAGAAGACACTTTGTCTCTTTTCAAGGAATATATTGAGAAAGAGAATATTACTACTTCGGATCGATTTACTGACCACTATCTTCTAAGGTTCTGTAGAGCTAGACAATTCGTACTTGAAGATGTCAAGAAAATGTTTAAAGAGTTTATCCAGTGGCGAGAACTTAACGAAGTTGATGAGTGATTTATACACTATGATGTCTCAAATATGCCTGAGGTGAAGAAGTTTTACAAGCATTGTTTCCACAGCACTGATAAAGAAGGAAGACCTTTCTATATTGACTGCCCTGCAACTGCAGCTCCTATTGAAGATCTCTTTAAAGTTGCTGATGCTAATGAGATCATTAGAAACTATATACTTCAGTTTGAATATCTTCTCCATGTCAGATTCCCAGCTTGATCGAAGGCATTTGGCAAAAAGATAGATAAATGATTCTCAATAGTTGACTTGAAAGGTCTCTCTATGGGAATGTTTAAAGAGAAATAGCAGGGAGTTTATCAAGATTCCTCTGAGTATTACTCAAAAGAATTACCCAGAGATCATGCATGCACTTCTTATTATCAATTCACCGATGGTTTTCAAGGCAATTTGGCTTGTTTTAAAACCATTTATTGCCCAGAGAACAAAAGATAAGATTAAGATTTTAGGGTCTAAATATCATGATGATTTATTTCAGTATGTCGATAAATCAAACGTTCCAACAGAGTTTGGAGGTAACTGCACCTGTGAAAATAATGGTGGAGATTGCTTCATGTCTGATAGAGGCCCATGGCATGACTTTCCTGGTGATAAGTATGGAGAGATGTATAAAAGACAATTACTTGGGGATAAATGAACAGTGCCAATACCAGACCCAATTCCTGTTGATCCCCAAACTGCAATAATATCTCCTGCCCCTTCAATTGCTCCTCATATTCAATCCCCTTCTCCAGCATCTGCAATTCCTCCTCCAACTTCAGCAATGGTATCTTTTTCTAAACCTTTATAGTCATCCCAACCTCCTTCATAAAGATCAAATTTCTAATTTCCCAAACCTCCAATCATAAATCCACATTCCCAACACAAAAACTTCCAATTTTAACTCCTTTCCCGGGGTTTTGGGGTTTTGGGGTTTTGGGG